TTGCCAGTTTTAACAGAATGATACGAGTTCTGCATTTGGTTACTACTGACGGACTAATCTTAAAACGAGTGATTCAGATTGGGTTAATAGTTCCTATAGGCATGCTTTCTAGCGTTGTTAATTTTAGACACTTTTTACAGGCATGGAAAGAGTGCAGAAAATCCTACGAGCATGGTATCTAGGATGCAATTGATTATTATTTTGACCTATAACTGTTTGCCTAATGATAGATAAAAAATGCAGGATCTTAAAGACATGGTTCCTACATACGGAATTCTTATGAGCAGGATATCTATATGATATGCAGAGTTCTTATGAGCATGATTTCTATATATATGAAAGTGCAGAATTCCTATGAGCATGGTTTCTACATATGAAAGTGCAGAATTCCTATGAGCATGGTTTCTACATATGAAAGTGCAGAATTCCTGTGAGCATGATTTCTATTGATGAAAGTGCAGAAATAAGCATGATTTCTATATGTGAAAGTGTAGAAATTCAAAGAAAAAACTCTTATAGGCAGGATATTTACCCTTATGCATACACAGATAACCCTCCCCTTTTTACTAAAACCCCATAAGTTATTACAAAATTTATTACAGACCAAATGGATCAAACAGAAAATAAAATTACATCAGAGCTTTTAAGTTGCATCCAAGGAGCCTAATTCAGACCCAAGGTCTAAACAACATGATATGAGCCTACTACCGGGATCAAGTTCCAAGGCCTTTCAAGAACTCCAGGCAATGCTTACACCCAGATATCATTACAAAACTGAATTAAAGTGCAGTGTGGAAGGGCCAGCCCTCCAATGTCCAAGTTCAGAGGGAACTCAAGGTCCCAAGGCAAGGCTCATTGGTGGGGGGAAAAACTTAGAATCTAGGAACAAGTGTGAGTGCAATAGAGGAATTAAAGGATGCCAAGGCAGGCTGGTGGTCATGCCCTGCAACATAGAATGCTGGCACACCCCTGACCAGCCTACTAGCCAAACATTGGAGAGTTAGGACCTATTGAAGGTCAAACCATGGCCTGGGCAGTAATTGGGATACTGTCAGGCCAAGGTTTCAACTCAACACATAAAGGGAATTAGGGGTAGGGATTCATATGAGAACAGAAGCAAAGAAAGGAAAAATACTTAGCATAAGTTACGAAGCATGAACAGCAAACCACACAAAAGAATGAGACTATAGAATAAACACATAGGGATGAGGCAAAAGTTTAAATAAAGGCGTACCAGTTTCAGAAAGAGGCAAGCAAAAGAGAGCTAAAGTCTTGCAAAGAAGCCACAGCACAAACAGCAAGAGAGAATACTTTGTGTGTGAGTGTGAGTTCAGAAAAGACTCCAGTGTTCGTGTTTTTTCTTGTGTTTTTGGGGTGTTAATAAAAGAGCAGGTATTTATAGTGTGAGAAACATGCAGAAATAAGGTAAGGACTGTAATTCAGACATAATCGAAGAAATATGTGTCTTATTAAAATCAAATCAGTATCAAAGACTTCCTTTAATAGAGCAATTAAACCAAACGGTAGCATGCAAGTGTTAAATAAGGAAAGAAATCACGCAGGGCTGGACATGACAAATAAGGAAATATTTTCAGCACAGTACGAGTATACCACATGTATTAGGGGGTAAGTTCATTAGACCTTAATTAAGAAAAGGTCTGTAAGAATCCCATACTAATGTAATTAAGGTAATGGGATCAAATCAACTTAAGTAGAAAGGCAGGGTCGAAAGGAAAATATTTCAACAAGTCCAAGAAACAAAGGAAATCAAAACAATAAAGGATAGAATCAATTCAAGAGTGCAATCAAAGTTACACAAAGAGATTTGAAATCAGTCCACAATCAAGGTTATTTAGAGAGGGAAATTTGACCTATAAAGAGTGCATAAACATTAAGCATGCGAGGCTGGATTTAAGACAAAGAAGAGTGTCATGCAATCAAAGAAAATCAGTGAGTAGAGGACCATAGGAACATGGTAGTCATCTCAGAGAAGAGGGAATAGCATGCGAAAGGTCAAGTAAAGAGGTCAGAATCGCATGAAGAAACAAAGTTGACACAAAGATTTCGAAACTCAGTCGAACAGTGGAGGAAACAACTTCAGGAACTCAAATAGGTCCAAAGAGACTAGGGATTTGAAATCAACACGTGCAGGGATAAGAAACAAACAAATCACATAACAAATAATCTCAAAACTCGAGTGAACCCAAATTCTAGGGTTTTTTACCATTAATCGAGTCTAGAGATGAAGACAAGTAAGTCAGGCAAAAATATTAACGGAATAAGAGCAGAAATCATAAAGGAACACGTATTTCCCAGTAGAAGAAACTCATGAATAACATAATAAAGAACAATCATGCAAACAATACAGTAGAAGAACTCGTAAGAACAAGGTAGAAGAAACACAGTAGAAGAAGCACATAAGGATCATAGAAGAAACATAGTAGAAGAAACATAGTAGAAGAAACATATAAGAATCACAGTAGAGCATGTTAAAAGATCAAAGAAACCCTAAATCGGGGAAGATGAAAAGGTTAAAAAGCAAGTTTTGAAAGAAACTTTTGAGAAAACATTTGAGACCCCAAGATAAACATAGATCTAGGACAGATCTAGAGAAATCAGAAGAACCTCGAAAGGTTAGGGTTTCAGAAGAAACCTAGAAGTGAGAAAGGCCTGGAAAACTCGTGGATCTAAGCCGGAGAAGTTAGACTCAGGCTCGAACGTCCACGATATGCTGGAGTAGAGCCGGAGACGACCATGGAACCCTGAATCGAAGGAGATCTGGGTAGAGATCTTCAAGGTCAGGCCTTGAATCTTCAGAAAACCGGTGTATAATAGCACCAGGGGGTGGGTGTAAGATCCCCATAGCTTTGGTGGCTATAGATTCCGGTGGATCTCTGGTCTGAGACGGCAAGAGGCGGCTAGGGTTTGAGAACCCTTGAGAGAATTTAAGAGAGTGGAGGGTTTCAGAGGCGGCGGCTGACGAGAAATGAGGTAGGGTAAGGGGTCGTTTGAATTAAAAAAGGAAAGGGATGAGGGGAGCCGTTGATCTAAAAGATCAACGGCTGGGATTAAATGGGTTAAATGGGGACCGGGTTTGGGTATGATAAGAAAGGGTATGGGTCGGGTTATTGGATCGTGGGTTTTGGGGTTGAGATTGGGGGTCCAATTTGGGCTAAAATTGAAATACAAAAGGGTTGTCATTTAAATAGCCAATTTTCCCCTTTTAATTTATAAAAATAGTAAAAAATTACTTGAAAATAAATTAAAGGCACTGGACCAATTAATAACATATAAATATTAATGTAAAAATACCAAAAGTGATTTTATAATTATAGAATGTTGTTAATCGTAAAATAGGCTATAATTACAATTATATGCAATTAGCTTAAAAAACACCAAATAAATGTATAAAAATATACAAAAATTTCCCCAATTATATCTTAGGGTAAATATGAAAATGAAATAAATTATTCACTAAAAAATGCTAGTTTGGGAATAATTGTTGAATTTTGTAGTATTAAAATAGACAATAAATTGGTTTTAAAATCTTAAAAAATAAAGGAAAAATAGCAAAGCTTTGTGGCATGCTTATATATGCCTGTACATGCTATTTTTGAAAGTATTTTGCATATATAAAAATATAGGGAAAAATTGGATATCAACAGTAATGACATTTGTCCGCCAGATAATGAGTGATTTGGAGCGACTTCAAGGGGATCTCGCACGTAGGCCCGTGGCAAGACCGAATGATGTCCCACGGGCCCCAGGAGTCGAAGCACTTATGTATTCATGATTTTCATTCATCGAGTCTGTATTTTAGTTTCTTGGCTTAAAAGTTGTTTTGAGTCTGTTTGTAGCTTTTAAAGAAATTCCAAGAAATGAGTAGGTTGAAGTCTTTTGTAATAGAAAATGTTTAGCAGTTTTATTAATGGAAATTGAAAATTTCCAAAAATTGTTTCTTTATTTTTCGCATTTATTTTCTTGAACTACGTAATGATCTGATTCATGCGATGTTGTGATACGTAGGCAATCCTCATCGGATCCGATCATGATTTATTGTAAATAACTCAAATAAGAGAGGGATGTGAAAAGAAAAACCCAAAAAGAAAGAAAAGAGAGCCAAAGAAAAACCAGAAGGAAAACAAAAAGAGAGCAAGGAAAGAGATGGAAGAAAAGAGCAAAAAATAAGAATAGAAGCACAAAAAGCCAAAGTGGAGAGAAAAGAAAATTGGGGAAAGTAAGCAAAGCCGGGATGAAACGTGCAACCGTTGCGAAACATGTAGAAACATATTTAACTGTATAGGTGCATCACACCCCAATGTGCGATTACCTATGTGTTATTTGCTCCAAACTGACCAGTTTGTTGTCTACTGTTCAGGCCATGTTTTATAGTAAGGTGGTTGGTTTTGTGGTAGCCTGGCTTCGCATCCATACTTCATGAGGTCGAAAGCAAGCGTTGAAATGCCTTCAGAAATGCCTCTGCCAACAGTTTCTATTACAGATGATAGCCCGATCTCGAGCATCCCAACTTCAGAATCGGTAGCTGCCGAGGAAAATAGATTTCTGTGTCTTTGCATGATGGAAATGTGGGACGCCTGGGCAAATGGAAAAGAACCACCAAGTGCAATCCCTAGATTCCCCGAGCTTTTTCCCAGGGCAAGTGGGACCTCCAACATCCCCATAAATTATCCAAATACCCCACTGGATATCCTACCTTTTCCGCCAACTTTGTGGGAACACCTTCTGAGGCTCGCCCCCAGGTGTTAACTTCAGGTGCTACTTCAAACATATTCACTACGCCACCTTGTTGAGCTACGGCACAACCTACTCTACCCAGGCCTAGCTTCGATCCATCCTCTTTCACCTTTAAAGCACCATCTTTCCCAATGGAACCAACCCAGCTTGCTACCAATGCCTACCCTCAGCCGCCTCGGTACGAGTTTACCGCAGGGCAGGAGAAAACCACAAAAACCCCTGAACAATAGGAGATTACTAGAAAGATGAGAAGCATGGAGCAAAGTCTCAAAAATATACAAGGTCTGAGTGAGCAAAAGAGCGTATCTTACACTGACCTGTGCATGTTCCAGCACGTACATCTACCCTTGGGTTTCAAAACCCCGAAGTTTGAAAAATATGATGGGCATGGGGATCCCCTTGCCCACCTCAAGAGATACTGTAACCAACTGCGGGGAGCGGGCGGAAAAGAAGAGCTGCTCATGGCTTACTTTGGAGAAAGTTTGGTCGGTATTGCTTCAGAATGGTATATGGATCAGGATATATCTCGCTGGCATATCTGGGATGACCTGGCTAGGGACTTTGTCAGGCAGTTTCAATACAACATCGACATTGCCCCTAACATGAATTCATTGTCAAATCTAAACAAGAAGTCCTCGGAAAGCTTCCGAGAGTATGCTGTCAAATGGCGCGAGCAAACCGCCAGAGTTAAACCTCCAATGGACGAAACGGAGATGGTTAGTGTCTTTCTTCAATCCCAAGAGGCTGATTATTTTCAAAACATGATGTCTGCAATGGGTAAGCCGTTTGCCAAAGCCATCAAAATCGGTGAAATGGTTGAAAATGGGTTGAAAACAGGGCGAATCTTGAGTCAGTCTGCTATAAGGGCCACCTCCCAGGAAATCCAAAGAGGATCTGGAGGAGTAGAAAATAGAAAGAAGAAGGAAGAAACATCAATGGCGACTTCAAGTGTAAGAAAAAACCGTCCACCCAGACCTTATCTCTCGGACAGGACCCCACAACATTATTATCCCCCTCAAGATGTGGCATACGCCATGGTTCCTCAACTATACGGAGTGATGAATGCCCAACCTTATGTTAGGCCACAACAACAATTTAATCAGAACCGAGCTCTATTTCCTAGAAATCAACCTCCTCACCAAGCTCAGTATAATCCCGGACCCCCACAGAACAACTTCCATGCCCGAGAACTACCCTGGATGCCAAAATTCACACCTATTGGGGAGTCATATTCCAGCCTTTTCCCCAAACTTGTTCAGATGGGTTTGTTGCAGCCTGTACCCCAAACCAGGCAGAACCCAGCGTCGCTCTCTTACAGAGCTGGTACTCGATGTGCTTACTACTCAGGGGCGGAAGGGCATGATACAGATGACTGTTGGACCCTAAAGAGGGCTGTGGAAAATCTGATAGAACAAAAGAGAATAGTGCTAAAGGACGAAGATGTTCCTAATGTAACCAATAATCCATTACCGGCCCACAACAATGGGCCGGTTATTGCAATGATCTGTGAGGATAAAGAATTTGATCCAGCTCTAAAGGCCATCATTGCCATAGCCGATGTGGAAAAGAAGCCAAAAGCTGTCGCAGAACAAGACACGAGGGAGAAAAAGAGTAAAACCACCCCTTAGAAGACCAAAAAGAAAGTGGAAGCTGAAACTGGGACAGCGCCCTCCAAAGATGCCGTTCTCTATGTCCCTCAAGGCTGCAAGAAAGAATAGATGTCATTAAGTCCTCCTAGGAGGTTTGAGCTAAACAAGGGAGCTCAAATGTATGTGCCCAAGGGGACCTACGTGGTGCGGGGACCGATAATTCCACCAAGGCTGAATGAGCCCGTGGTTATTGGTCGCGCGCCACAAAGACCCATGACAGATCCCACTGTCGTTCCATGGAACTATGACAAATCAGTAGTAACTTACAAAATCAAAGAGATCTCGAGAGAAATTAAGGAGAATAACCCGACTGAGAAGTACCTCAATCTGGAGGAAGTGAATAATGCTACAAAGAAGCATTTCCCGCCCAAGAAGCCCGTGACTGCTGAAGAAGCGGAAGCCTTCTTCCAGAAAATGAAAATGGCAGACTACGAGATAATTGACCAGCTCCGAAAGTCTCCTGCCCAAGTCTCTCTTTTGTCTCTGATGATGAACTCAACTGAACATCAAAAAGTGTTGATCAAAACTCTCAACGAAGCATATGTACCCATTGAAACCACTGTAGAACAGTTGGAGAGGATGGCAGAAAGGTTCTTTGCAATCAATCAAATCTCTTTCAACAAGAATGATTTGCCCCCAGAAGGGGCCACACACAACAAAGCCCTTCACCTAACAGTTAAATGCGAAGGGTATTACGTGAAAAGGGTCATGCTAGATGGTGGTTCTGGGGTAGATATTTGCCCACTCTCAACTCTGCAACATATGGAAATCAGTACTGAGAGGATCAGACCCAACAACGTTGTGTGCGTGCCTTTGACGGCATAAAGAGAGATACAATAGGCAAGATTGATCTGATTCTGACTATCGGCCCGGTGGACTTCGAAGTGACCTTCCAAGTTTTGGACATGGATACTTCCTATAATTTCCTCTTGGGAAGGCCGTGGATTTACGCAGCAGGGGCTGTGCCTTCTACTCTCCACCAGATGGTGAAGTTCGAACATGAAGATCATGAGATTGTAGTTCACGGGGAAGACGAGCAATCGATTTATCGGGACCCGTCAGTCCCCTGTCTTGAAGCTAGAGAAGGAAGTGAACATATAGTCTACCAGGCTTTCAAAATTGTGGTCGCGGACCAGTGTGAAGAGGGAAACCCTTGCCCTCAACCCTATCTTTCAAATGCATAAATTATGGTGGCCAAAGAAATGATCAGACATGGCTACAAACCCGGGAAGAGGCTCGGGACTTCACTGCAAGGAATTACTGAACCTATCACCTTGACTGCCTATGAGAAGTTCTTTGGGGTAGGTTTCCAACCCACATCAGCTGATGGAAAATGGGAAGATAAAAGAAAGAACAATGGTTGGGTCTTGCCTCAGCCAATTCCACATCTGTATAGGACATTTTTCAAGCCTAAGTACAATGAGGAAGAGGAAGATGAGGCCTTTACGGCCGAGGAAATTGAAGAAATCTGTAGGGCTATGAGGCAGATGCTCTATGAAACCCACATGGTCCAACCAGGGGAAGGCTCAAGCACCGCTGAGGTGCTATACATGGGACCAATGCTAAGCTGTAAAATTGGAAGGCTACTCCATTCCCAATCAGGCGGGAATCTCGGTAGTCCAGTCCTGCCACCCTTTCTACATCACGGGTTATTTCAGGGTGTAACTCGGATGTTTCTTTAGTTTCCTGTCTTTAATTTCCCAATGTAAACCCTGTTATCTTCAAATTCAATGAAATGAAATCAATATTTCATCGTTCATATCTCTACTCTTTCTAATTTTTGTTATTTTCTCTCTCTTATTCTTCTTTCAGTTCTAATAATGCGGCTTTAAATAACATGACATGCTTGCGGACTTCATGCCCAGATCCAAACACGCTGTCTAATTGTAAAATAATGAACCAAGAACCGGAATATGATGAAGAAAAGGCTTTTAGGGAAATAAATCGAGAATTGGACAATTTGAGAATAAACCTAAGCCGAATTTAAATAATACCAATCCGCTTAATTTGGGTAGTACTGAAGACATCAAAGAAACCAAGATAAGCATTCACACAGATGAAAAAACCCGGGATGTGTTGATCCAACTGTTTTTTGAATTCAAAGATGTGTTTGCTTGGTCGTACGACGACATGCCAGGACTAAGTGTCGATTTGGTGGTTCATAAGTTGCCAACTTACCCCGATTATCCCCCTGTCCAACAAAAGCAAAGAAAGTTTAAAACCGATATCAGTGACAAGATTAAAGAAGAGGTCACAAAACAGTTGAAAGCGGGGGTGATCCGAGTGGTTCGATACACTATATGGTTAGCCAATGTAGTTCCAGTGTTGAAGAAGGACGGTAAAACTCGAGTGTGTGTGGATTACAAAGATCTCAACAAAGCAAGTCCTAAGGATAATTTCCCTTTGCCGAACATCCACATCCTTGTTGATAACTGCGCCAAACATGAGATACAGTCCTTCGTGGATTGTTACGCAGGATATCACCAGGTGTTGATGGATGAAAAGGATGCAGAAAAGACAGCTTTTACCACACCCTGGGGCACATACTGTTACAGGGTCATGCCTTTTGGTTTGAAGAATGTCGGGCAACCTACATGAGGGCCATGACTGCCATTTTTCATGATATGATGCACCAAGAGATAGAGGTGTATGTGGACGACGTGATCATCAAGTCCAGGACCCAGGATGACCATGTTCGGGATTTGAGAAAATTCTTTGAGCAGCTGCGTAAATATGATCTGAAGCTAAACCCAGCCTAATGTGCATTTGGGGTTCCGTCTGGCAAGCTCTTGGGATTTATAGTCAGTCGAAGGGGTATCGAGTTAGACCCAACAAAGATAAAGTCCATTCGAGATTTTCCTCCTCCGAGAACCAAGAAAGAGGTTATGAGCCTGCTGGGAAGGTTGAACTACATTAGCCGATTCATAGCTCAGTTGACTTCCACATGTGAACCCATCTTCAAGCTGTTAAAGAAAGATGCAGCAGTCAAATGGACGGAGGAGTGTAAGGAAGCTTTCGACAAAATCAAAGAATATTTATCGAATCCGGCAGTTTTGGTTCCATCTAAACCTGGGAGGCCTTTGTTCCTGTATTTGACAGTCTTGGAGAATTCTTTTGGATGTGTCCTCGGGAAACATGACATGACCGGGAAAAAAGAGCAGGCAATATACTATCTGAGTAAGAAGTTTACCAGTTATGAAGCTAAGTATACTTTGTTGGAAAGAACTTGTTGTGCTTTAACTTGGGTCGCTCAGAAGCTGAGGCATTACTTGCTAGCCTACACCACTTACCTCATAACTAGGTTGGATCCTCTAAAGTACATATTCCAGAAGCCAATACCCACAGGGAGGTTAGAGAAGTGGCAGATCCTGCTCACTGAATTTGACATAGTCTATGTCACCCGCACGGCAATGAAAGCCCAGGCTTTAGCAGATCATCTGGCTGAAAACCCTGTTGAT